TACGGGGCACGTCGAGCCTTTCTGGCGCCGCAGGTTTCGGGCATAGCTCGCAGAGCTTGCAGCCGACATCAAAGAGAGTGAGAGGAAGGGGTTGCGGGAATTTATAGCGCGGGAGGCGGCAGGGAGGCTGCGCGAAGCGCGGAGTGTAGATGATCGGGACAGAAGAAGGGCAAACGTTCCAGAAGGATCGAAGGAGGCGAGTCGAATGATTTGCGTGATTGGGGTGGTCGTCCAAGCGGGGTGCGCTTCCCGCGGCCACCACATTGCCCTGACCATCCCAATCAGACAGCCAATCATTCGCGGGGAAAGGGGAAGGAGGGGATCGGACTTCGCTTAGAGGGAAGACGAAGAGACATGCAGGAGGGAGATGCACATCAAGAAAGAAAGATGGTGTGGGGATGCAGAGCGGGAGAACGGGTTGACGCGGCGCGCAAAGATTCAAAAACAGCCGCGCGCTCAAAAATTCGAAAATCCTACTCCCGCTAAGTCCCACCTGTTTCTTGAATTTCCTGGCGCGGTCGCTAACCGGCAACGCAAGACCCGAATTACGAAAGAAAGAAGAAAAAAGTAAAATGAAGCACCATTTTTCCTCATTATCTTTAATTTGTACTTCGGGGCTCTACGTGGGATTTTCCCTTACTAGGGGTACGGCAAGCCGCCGAGTACGGATCCCGGCTTATCACAAGTCAGGCATCTGCCCGATTTTTCTTTTTTTTTTTCGTTTCCTTTTTTTTTTTTTTTTTTTTTTTTTTTTTTTTCGGGCGTGGCCAAGGTCCAAGGCATCTCTTCGTGTGGCTAGGCGCCAGTAGAGATTACTAGGCCACACTTGACATTAAAGAAAAAAGGAAAAAGGGCTTTTTTCATGTTTGACTAAACTGCAGTTACAAACTCGACGGTGCGACTTTTCTGCAAAGCGGAGTTCCGACTGCATTGTAAACTTTGGACCCGACTTGACTGCGAAACGGCAGTTTCAAATGCATTTAGAAACTGCTTTTGTGACTGCGCCCTAGTTACCCCAATTTGAAATGTTTTTTTATGGCAAAAGTTTGTCTCACACCATTGTGCGAGGGTATAATACTGGGCTAGTGGGACGGCACTGGACACGGCTATCGTCAGATTACTCCAGTTCCTGGGTCACCACACCCAACATGGCTACAGTATTGTCAGATTACTGCAACAGCATCTCATTCGAAATGCTCCGCCAGTGTGACCAGCCTGAGGCACAAAGCCCAAAAAGCTTCTATTACAAAGGCTGCAAAATTTGCAGATTTGCATTGGCAGTCTGAGCATGCCCTGACGCTTATGCTCCACAGCTCAGGTAAATTACTGGGTTGGTCCCTGGAGCTGGTTTCCAGCAGGCCGTGCTCCCCACCAATAGGAAGGAGCCATGGCACCTCCGTCAGCATATGCTCCTCACACAGTGAAGTTTTCTCGAAAACAAAAGAAGGTATTTTGGAGTCTGAAAGGTCCTGGTGCCTCCAGGCTCAGAAAAACAGTTGTGGTCCAATCAGCCCGGGCTAGCCGGGCAGTCATGATTTCTGAGGATTCCACTGGCCCTTGCTCTCTTGCCAAGGAAAACGGATCACAGAGACACGAATCAGCAGAGCCATCAGGATAGCATGATAAGCCCAAGGCGTCTGGAGGGGTCAAATGGAGGATCTGAGATTAAATGGATTCAAACTTCTGAGCGAATGGATAGAGGTCCTCTTAAACTAGTCGTACTCTTAGCTGACAGACTCCTTACAGGTTAGACCATTTTTCACAGATTATTTACAAGAGTATTTGCATGATCCTAACTGAGATATTTTCATTCCGGATGCCATGCCCAGTATCTTCTAGCTTCTAAGGCCTGGACCCACAGGGAAAAACCGTGGAAAAGCCGGCGTGGAAAAGCTTATCTCGGACTCCATCAAACAAAGCAGGCCCTACGGAAAGCCGATTTTMGGACKGCGGTGAGGTTTTCTGGGACCCAACAGCCTGGAAACTGGTATCTGGAAAAGCCACATTTTTTGTTTTCACATCGGTTTTGGGTCGGAAAAGTGGCTGTGGAGGAGTTTCGGCCCGTATGTTTGTGCCCTTTCCAAAGAATAGGGGGGAGGAGGGGGGGGGGCATGTCCATGGTTGGAAACTCCTCGCCAACCCATCCATTGTCCGCCCGAAGCTGTTCCCTGGTCCAATTGGAAAGGGCTACGGACATGCTGTTGTCGCCCAATAGGAAGGACAACTGAAACAGGCGCAAGGCTGGACATCAGCGACCACCATCTGGTCCATCTCCAGTTTCCAGCCTTTCGAAGCTCGTGGTCCGTGTAAACCGGCTTTTTCAGCCACTCCGGTGGGGTCCCGTCATTCCGCGGGCAAACTCTTCCGCGGGCAAACTCTTCCACGGAGACTCGAAACTCGTCACTTTTTGACCATTGGAACAGGCGAGCGTGTATCTTCAGGTGCAAAGTGGAGAAGGGTAAGTGGAGACTGCAACCTTGAAAATATTCCTTTTCTTTTTTTTAAAGAAAGGGCGATCGCCTTGAGATATCACCTGACCGGCCCCAGGCAATTCAGAAATAGTTGGTTTTACAACTTTACTCACCAAGTGGTTCTATCATGATCTGGATTTGAACACGGGTCTGTATTTTCAACAGTTAATGGGTGTACCCACTGCGCTAGCCTCTTATTTTCAACCTTGAAAATATTCGAGATGCGACGCCCCCCTGCCCTCTCCAGTCGGGAAACCATGTGAAAACAGAAAATTCCGTATTTCCACGCCACAAAATTCGGGTTGTGGGTTCCCCGGACGCCCAGTCTTGGAGGAAAAAAACGTCCTTCCAAGGACTCCACGGAGGGCTGTCCGGTGGCGGAAATGTTCTGCGGCGAAGTTTTTCCTCTCCGGAAACCTGTGGGGTCCAGGCCAAAGACGAAGCACTCCGAGGATACAAACAGAAACTCCTCTAGCTGCTATTGGCCGCTGCTTGTGCGTAGGTCTCGTTCCCCCATCTCTCTCTCTCTCTCTCTCTCTCTCTCTCTCTCTCTCTTGCGCGCGCGAGGGGGCACGCAGTCGTTTACGGGGTGCGTATTTGTTTGTATGAACATGTTCTTCTTGCCTTTTCTCTTTCACAAATACATCGTGCCGCCCAGACACGATGACAGACACAGCTGTCGGCACGATGACAGACACAGCTGTCGGCCCCCACATCTCCGTCGGTCCGTTCCTGGCTGTCGATGCCGTGTGAACATGGACAAATAAGAAGCACTCCGAGGGATACAAACACAAACTCCTCTAGCTGCCATTGGCCGCTACTTGTGCGTAGGTCTCGTTTCACCACTCCACAGATATGAAAATCCCGACTTCATCTCTGTGGTTGCAGCTGGCAGGACACGCTACCACCTCCACACTCAGCGGTTGTTGAATTGAGGCCCCATCCATGCATTGGCCTCGCAAAGCACGGCTAGCCGCACTACGAGAACGCTGCTAACATGCCTTGACACAAACGACAGCGCCTGTACACTTTCTCCCCCCCATCTCTCTCTCTCTCTCTCTCTCTCTCTCTCTCTCTCTCTCTCTCTCTCTCTCTCTCTCTCACCCCCCCACTCGCTCTTTCTGTGTGTGTGCGTTTGTGAAAAGGGAGAAGTGCCATCTGAATACGGACGGCGATAAAACCAGTCCGGGGTAAAGGCGCGCCTCCAGGCGCCATCGGCTTTGTCACCGTCGGTTGTCACATTGGCGGGGCAATTCAACTCCATCGCCATAGCATACACCCCATCCACGGCTCTAGCCGTCCACTACTTTGTGCTTCTATACTAGAATCGTATGTTATACTCGACGTTACACGACGGAGTTCCGTTATACGGTAGCCACCCCATCGAGAGTACCTTACAGTCCGTCCGCCTCTCTCTCTCTCTCTCTCTCTCTCGCGCGCGCGCGCGCGCGCACGCCCGCCCGGCTGTGCGCCCTCGAGCGCTAGTTGTGAAAACATGTTCACTTGTCACGCTGTTCCCTGGCGCATCTTCATGGATGTGTTGAAGGATACAGTCAGATATGTCCCGCCAGAGTGATGCCGCCTCTTTTGATGGTACAGGGCTGGTGGTTCTCCCGTCGCCACGTGTCCCGTGTACTCACTTTCTGACTTTGATTATCATTTTGTCAGTTACAACGCAACTGCGTCTTCATGAACCGTCGGCAGCCAGTCTTTGATTTGGAGTGAGCAAACGCGGCGTGTACCGCCCACTGTTTTTTTTTTTTTTTTTTTTTTTTTTTTTTTTTTTTTTTTTTTTTTTTTGAACTTCGCCTAGTTCACGTTAAGCCCGCCGAGATCTTTCGACCTCCTCGGGAACGTCATTGAGGCAGCGACAACGGGGCAAAGATAGGAATGGTGGCAGGGGGCGGATGAGTTCTAGAGATCCATTCACCGTTTTTTTTTTTTTTTCCCTTCACCTTTGGATCGTAAACGTCTTTTTTTTTTTTTTTTACAACACACACACAGCCCCTTCTAGTCTGGGGGGCACCAGTCCGCTTGCTTATCACCGGCAAGCGTGTTTGCATGGGCGGCAAATGAGTGATGGTGCCGCTCAATGCCTACTGGTATTGCTCTTTTTTCATCGTAGACAGCGAGTACTGACCGTGCTTTGTGTCGCTACGTTGCTGCGGACGGCTCGCAGAATGGAAGAGATTGGTCGACGCTCCATATGCAGCACAGTCAGTCAGCGTTAGAGTGCTAATTCAGCAACGGCACATACTCCCACTGGGTCTTTGCTGGACGCATTTGGCCATATTCAGGGATGGATTCAGTTGAAGTAATCTAACGAATGTGCGTATGCGCTAACTTGTGTGAGTTGCGTATCCAGAGTGGGTGGGGACTTGTAGCTCTCGGTAAGGGAAGGCGACTTCAGTTCGGGCAGCAGAGAAACGGTTTGCTTGGGGAGGAGGGGTTTCTCACGCCAATCCTCAGCGAGGGCGGGATTTGGGGATACGAAGCTCCTCTATCCTGTTAGGGACCATTACACCGCTTTCTATGATCATTGCAGGCGTCGTCGTGTCCGTTTCTTTGCCCAGATGCGGTTGGTCATACTAGGCCTTTTGATGACAATAGCGGCCACAGTTATGTGCGGCTGTTGTCTCCTCCTCGTATTCACAGGGGGCGAGGGATCAATTCATAGAACCGGGCAGTGGGGAATTATTACCTCGAGGTTTAGCTGGCACGAGAGCGATCGCCTTCTTCAGGAGTCGACGAGTGCCACTCCAGCAGCGCCGCAGCAAGAGCGGCAGATAGACCATTCGCAACTCGTAAACGGTTCCATCACGCGCGTGACGTGGCATACCCCGTGGGCGAATGGGACTGCGGGGAAAGATTGCCGGACCGAAATTACGAGCCTGGTGGTCGGTTCGGGGAAACTGTATTACGTCCTGCACCGGTACTGCCAAGTGGATGGTGCTCTGGAGGATCGGGCGTTGTCGATTAGGAGACTGAACTTATCGCGGGTGCAGGACGGCGACGGTTCGAGCCCGCAGGAGGACGACGACTCCTTGATAAGTCACATGTGGCCGTACGGGCAGCCGAACGGGACAATAATCCGCGAACCAGCGGATTTCGGAGGGGCTCACGTGACAGGAATGAGTCTGTCGAAAGATGGGATGCATCTCCTCTTGAGCGTAAGCAAAGGAGATCCAAAAGTACTATGGGACAGTGGGACCAGATATCGGGATGACAACGGCTCCGTGTTCACTTCTTTGTCGCTCGCCGACGGCTCTCGATTGTCATCTCCCCCTTTGAGCAAATTGTCCCAGGCGTGGGCGTTAGAGCCTAACAAGGGTTTTCTTTACTATTTGCAATCTGATTCCGCATTACTGAACGTCACGGTTAATGATGTCGGACCTCCAAACGGCTATCCGAAGCGGATATCCCCTCAGAAAATCGGATTGCCGAGTGATCCTATCGATCCTAACGAGGAGTTCCAATCTGGAAGCCTTCTATCGGACGGCAGTTGCCTGTACTCCGTGACTTCTACTGACTGGTTGTTCGCGTGGACGGTACAACGTGGGCATTTCCACCACTATACGATATCACCACCTGCCCATTTGCTCCATCGGAGAGCGGTAGACGTCGTCGCAACGAGTCAAGGATGTCATCAGTACGTGTTCACAGCCGCAAACGATACAGTTGCGGTCTTCGTACTGTCCAGACCGATGGGATGGGCATGCGGCGTGATTGGATTCAGGTCGGCCCTCCCACGTTATTTCGGCGTAGCGGATGTTACGGCATTGGCACTTGGTGACAACGGCGACGGCTTAAGCCTCTACGTTGGAACCAGCGATGGCAGCGTGTATCTCGTTCCGCTCAACAGTTCGGAACTGAGCCGTTGTGAAGAGGAACGGTACTGGCCGCGAGCACTGGCAGGCGAAAATTCACGTAGATTTCATCTTCGTTTATATCGACTAGAGTATTTGCCGGTTAATCTGTTTTCGTCAGTACTGGCAGGCATGATCTATTTCGTAATAGTTATTGTACCCTCCTCCTGGGGCTCGGGATTCGATCCATGGACTTACTTTATTGTAGTTGTTCCTTCGATATTTCTAGCAGTAGCAATAGCAACTTGGGCATTTGTGTGGGTTTGCGTGGCCAGAAAGCGTCGACGTCGAGCTCTGGAACAGGTCAATCACAACTCTGCCGTTGCTGGCCGGMCGAGGACTTCAGSTCCGCGGGACTGCACTGCTGTGGATTTCTGGGGACTGAGGCCGTCACGCGYCCAGCAGTTCGGGATAAAAACTCTATCGGATTGCACGGACAATTTTAGCTCGAYTCATCAAATCGGGAACAGAGGGTCATTTGGGAAAGTCTACAAGGGTTCGCTCGATGGGAAGGATGTGGCGATCAAGKTGATGGCCGGCGAGCTAACGGACACCAAACGGAACCAGTTCGTGGCGGAGGTGAACACTCTCAGTGCAGTTAATCACGTCAATCTCATCCAGCTCACAGGTTACTGCCAGGAGGGCAATCAATGCATCTTGGTGTACCCCTACTTCCCAGGGGGCTGCTTGCACGAGCGGTTATATCCTAACACTGATAAGCAGCTGAGCATTGAGTTGGATTCTCCTCCCCCACTCGCGCTCCAGGAGCGCATGAGAATTGCCTTCCAGATTGCCAGGGGGCTCCAGTATCTACACGATGATGCCAAGCCTCCCATCATCCATCGTGACATCAAGAGCAGCAACGTCCTGCTTGGCGATGGCTGTGGGGACACACTCCATGTAGTCATCACTGACTTCGGATTGGCGGCCATCGGGGAGAGGGTGTTGGACACAGGACACGACCATGTTGTGATCACATCTCACATTGGTGGCACGTTTGGGTACATGTCGCCCGAGTACATGCTGAGAGGCGAGCTGTCCGAGAAGAATGATGTGTACTCCTTTGGGGTTCTTGTACTGGAGCTGCTGACGGGAAGGAAGGTGGCCGCACGGGCGCCTTCTGGGGTGGGATGGCAGACACTGGTGGAGTGGGTGAAGCCTTTCCTTCGAGATCAAGGTGAAAAAGCGCAAGACCCATGTCTGGACATGCCATGTGCTATTCTTGACCGCTGTTTGTGGGATCAGATAGACTCTACGAAGCAGATGGTGATGAACAGCTTCAGACTGGCTTGGGAATGTGTCCATGAGGACTACGGGTCAAGGCCGGCAATGCGAGCTGTTGTGCAGCGCATCCACAGCATGCTTCTTGATGTTGGTTGGGACTTCTTGATCCGAACAATGGACATGGAGCACCTTCTGACGACACCAGAGATAGAGGATAACATCTGCAAGGTCTATGATGCTGAGTCACAAGGGGGTCATGAAGTGCAGCTAGCGTGAGGGATGGATGAGAACTGTAAAAGGATGCCACATTTGTAGATGTGAGGAGAGTCGAACGGAGGCCCTTGTGAGTAATGCGCTTTGTCTAAGTATATACTATGAATTCCTTTTTGTCTTAGCGAGTCATAGCATGTAGCATTACATTATCGGGTAGAATTCAAGCTCGTGACCTGCCTATTCAGTGTTACATGGAGTCTGCCGTACGCACAGCCAGCAGGCTGCAAGGTGCTCAAATCTTTCACATGCTGACAAGTGCAAGTCATTGTGTGGGTCTAGAGCTGAAACTGCAAATACTTACCTGCTTGTTTTGGGGACTGGATGTGGAACCTTTATTAGATTCAGCCAAAGTTATGTTAGAATAAGACCTGTTATGCACTGCACCTCTTGCTATTGGCTGTACGGGACATGTAAAAGCGATATGGCATTGTAAGCATTGGGCTTGTAGTTGTCATTCTGAAACTCCACGTTCTGGTATTGGATTTTCCCGATATAAACCAGCGACTTAAAGTTGCTAAGTGATTTAAAGCCCAGAGATCAAAGATTTCCTAAATCTGTCGTCGGGTGGTTTTCATATTCATGTTATATTTTGGCTGGTTGTATCATCTTTCCCAGGATTTTATTCTGGTTTCAGTTTAGTAAGTTGGTCCTGGTTATCATCGGCTTTGAAACTTGTTTGCTATTGAGGTTAGACCTACGTTGATGTTCATGTCAAATAGACTCAGACTTAAGACTCTGTTAGCTTCTTCTGTCAAATGTTGATTCACTTGCATCACCATCAAGCTTTATCCTTGCGTCCTATTCGCTGCGGTAGTTCCCATCTCGTGTGATCATCTTGGTGTACCAATTTGAATCTTGTTTTTTCTTTTTTTTTGAAGGCTTGTGGAGAGCTGCTAGGGAAGGTGATAAGAGCAGCCTTCCCTAGCAGCCTGCTAGTTGCCGCTCACCTGCTGGAAACCGGGTCCAGTGTCCCTTGAATACATCATTACAAAATATACATCATTTGGATCATGACACCACTGTGCTGGAAAACGGGTCCACCGTCCCATATCTAAAACCTTCCACTTCCTTTCCTAACCTACGGCGCGCGCGGGTATGGGGGGATGGCCACCAGGGGCCACCAGTGGGGTCTCCCTCCATCACCCAGCGTACCAATTTGAATCTCTATTGAGCTCATAGAGAATGCTAGGTTTATTTTCCGGCGTAGCGCAATTACTCCCTGGAGCTTAAGCCGGCAATGGCCCGTGTATCATCTTTGCACTCCATTTTATGATGCAGCGTTGGGCACTGGGCCCCCTGTACATTGGTTGCGTTCATGCTACCCTAACTAGACTGCTTGAATGACATGGTCGATGTGAAAAAGTTAACATCATCTGGACTAAGTAGCAGAAGAAACACATGGTCGGATGCCAGATGTCTCTAGTGGAGGGTGGTGTGGTGTGACAAACTACTTTCTAAAACGCACAACTTCCTGCGCGACTGTATTTCAGGGGATGAAAAGAGGGGCCGACCCAGTTGCACAAGTGCCCCCGTCTTTTTGAGAAATCTTGCCAATGGTCCCATGGCGGTTGATAGTTGGAGTGCGCCATAGCGAGCGCGGAAATAACTGTTGTCGTAGCTTCTTTCTTGTCGCGTGAAAAGAAGGAACCTTTGGCGTGGTCATCGCGCAGGAGAGATTGTTTTGAATTTTTGAAATACGGGGAGATACGGTAGTTACGACTTTAATTGGGTTAGAAATTAGAGGCATCGTAATTTGTCTCGGATTTTTGCTGTTTTAACTGCGCGATGCTCCTTACTCACTCATGCATTGCTGCGTCCTGTCCTGCGCTCTGCTCCTGCCGCGCCTAAATTCTAATTGCAACTGTAAACTCTTATTTCTCCTTCTTGTCGAGCACGGGTGTAACTGTAATCATCTCCCTCTTGATTGCCTTTCGCGGTAAAACCTTTGCCTCTTTTCTGTCCATCTCATTGGCAGAGAAGATGCATGACTGGATTGATGAATGGAGAGTGGGTACGTCCCCCAGGCCGCGGCCCAGTCATGCAGTTGTAGGCAATTCCTTCTTCTCCCTTCCTCCTGCTTCAGCATAATCCGGAATTATCTCGCGCAAATACTAAGTGGTCGTGAGGGTTATAAATTTGGCAAGCATGACTAATTCGCTCCCTAGTCTAGACTTGGGAGTTAGCGCGATCGAGGGATCGACTAACGAGCAGAGACGAGATGTGGAGTACGAGATGTGGAGTACGGAGTTGATCGAGGGGATCGGCTAACGAGCAGAGGCAAGACGTGGAGTAGGGAGTTGAGCGATCTGACAGGCTGGTGCTGGGTATGTGGGGTTGCGTGTGATGTGAAGGACTGTGGCACACGGGCGAGCCTGGTTTGCATGCTCGGACTAAGCGGGGTGACAACTTCAGGTTGTTGGTAGGTGCGAGGCGACAGACTGCCAGCATCGGAGAAATTTCGAGATAGATAGAGAGATAGATAGATAGATAATATATATATATATATATATATATAAAGAGAGAGAGAGAGAGAGAGAGAGAGAGAGAGAGAGAGAGAGAGAGGTGTTGAAGTGGTGTTATGATGTTATCTCTTCGCATCCTTTGTATAATTTTGATCTTGGTTCTGCCTTTCTTTGTTTTCAGCCATCGTGGATTTTCCTTTTCGTAGGTTGATGTGTGAATTGTCTCTTTTTCCCTCATTTCTTTGAACACTTTCTTTTTGACACAGGATGTATGATGGTTGCAAAAATCGATTGATTGTTTGATTGCCTTGAAAGTATGGATGTTGCCGATCAATGAGTCCGGGGATAACGACATGTATGGATTAGGTGTCCTACGGATGTATGGGAAATTGTTCCTTCTCCTTTCCTTTTGCGCAGCCTGTGTAACCGTTTGAACGCACTGAACGCGCGTTCGCGTGCAAACGGTCGGGTGGCGCGTTCAAACGCGTTTAAATGCGCTACAAGCCACGTGGCGCGAATCGGTTGAACGCGACCCGCCCGTCTGCATGCGCGCATGGCAGACTATGGGTGGTTCTTCAGAAAAAAAATGAAAAAAAAACAACTGTGGCAGTGTATATTTCCATGTTCTAGCCGAAGATCCATTCGATTTTTCTAATCAAACGGATGGAGTACCATGAGGTCGACCATGCCGCTGTTGGAAACTTACCTGCTCTCTCTCTCTCTCTCTCTCTCTCTCTC